CTGTGCTGCAGCCAATTTGAAATAGTCTTCTTTGACAGAAAAGTATTTTTTTTCCTGTTAGAGTGATGGTGTGAGCAAAATACTTGAATTGCTGGCTAATACTGATGCCAAACCATCAACACATCTCCTAGTGAAACTCTTGGCTTAAGGAACATATGATAGATGGCCCCTCAAACTATTCTAGAAGGTTAAAAACTAGAGGATTTGCAAGAGTATTATAACATAGCAATGACAAAAAAGCCATCCCAAGATCCTGATCTGCATCTGAACATTTTTGAATGCTGTAAGTCTTTCTGGAAGACCAGCATAGACACTTTTTAAATGGCTATATTTCTTCCACGTCGAAAATAATTGAGTGAATATAATTACCTTCCTTTGAAAAGTATATAGCAATTAATAGAGGGAATTTTTATCTATACCATGGCTGACAGAGAAAGTTAACATTTCTTATTCTTCTCCATTCTCTGTAAATGTAAGAAAGAAAGTATAAGATGGCCAAATGATTCTGATGAGCATTCTGGACTAGATGAACCATATGTCAATACAGGAGCCAGGATAAAATCAGTTCCTCCTTGTCCTAGACCTCCCACCAAGAACTCTGTTCTAGACTAAGCAGAACATTTCTCCAAACTACAGCACCACTAGGGGAAACAGTAGAGACGGCCAAAGTATTGTGAAAACCTTGGGAATAAAGGCTGATTTGATATACTGCAGGCAGTTCCACCTTGATGAAAACCAGTAGCGTTTAGATGAATCTACTCACACCCCTGGGTGATCTTCCAACCTGACCAGGCTTGATGAACAATATCTGTGGGTTAGTAACCCTCCTAATATAAATTATTCTCTGAGTGTAACTCAGATTAATTATCAGAAGCATTTCTTTGTGCTTGACTCAGTATGGTTAGCTACTATTGAAGTAGTATGACAGACTTCTCTAGCAGACTAACATTTTTCTGCCTGTACTTTAGATTCTGTCTTTACCATTGAGAACCTCAGCTAGGGTGTGAACAGGCTTGCCTTTGATTTCTTGACTGACGCTGACTGCATCTTTAATATTTGTTGGAAGCAGACCTTCCAATGTACAACTAAGTTTCCACCACTCCCAGTGCCTAACCTAACATGTAGAAACCCTCCACCCATTATTCCTAAGGCTTTTACTTGTAAACAAAGAAAAGTTCCTTGGTTCCTATTAACTCAAATGGTTAATAGGGTGTCCAGTTTTATTTGGAGTCTCATAAGTCTTTCTGGCTTGCTAAAATTCTCTTATGCTCCTTTTAGATTACAATGAAAAACATATGATATTTCCCCTTAATTGTAGCGATATAGAGAGCTCAGATTTTTCTTGGCAGAGAAGACATGAAACGTACTTTGGGCAGTTAGATTGATGATACAGGCTTTTGACCTTTAAAACAAATCATTTTTGGTAAATCTGTAAGGCAAGCACTAGTAATTCCTCCCAAATATGAGAAACAGCCAAAGTATTTGACGTAAATTATAATCAGAATGGGGTCTTTTTGTTTTCTGTTGTAATGCTTATTTTAACAAGTCTGCTTCTATATCCTGTACTTACAAAGAATTAGTACAATACTTTAGGATAATTACTGTACATAAAGATCTTGCTTTCTGCCTTACAAGTGTGACTTGCCCCTTGGGAGAGGATTAGTAAAGATCTTATATAGTCTGCAATGCAAAGTTATTTGTTTGGAATGTCTCTCTATGAATCATCTTCCGAACCTCCCAAGTATCCCCAAACAGGCTGAGAACACAAGGGTGTGATCAAAGACAGAAAAATGCTTTACTATGGAGATACATTTATTTACTGTATATTAAGTAAGCAGGATTGTAGAAGTGCATCAATGTTTCTGGAAATACTCAAGCCATGAGACATTGCTCTAACTGCTACAAGATATTACAATGCCCAGAAGAGGCTTATGATATCCCAGTCACTCCTTAGATCACAAGCATTCCAAAGAGATTTCTTGGAAGGCTACAAATACAAAACAATAAGTAGAAAAAAAAGATGTGCTAAAAAGCTGATCCTTCCTTGAATTTTAAAAACAAGATTATGAAGCTTTGGGAAAAGCACAGTTACTATGAAGGATACCATTGCTGCACTACACCCAGTTATTCATATTGAATACTTATGCAACCCATATAGGCCCTTCTGTCCAAACTGGCTCCATCCATTCAGGTCTGAAGCCAAATTTCTGCCCAAAGCATTATTTTCTTCTTTAAGTTCAAGTGACTCCATGGTAAAAGTCAAGCGCTCCATTCTTTGCAAAAATCCAAGGATATACATATTCACTATCCTCCTATACCTTTGCTAGGAGAACCTATGAGGACTGTCCATAATTGATCAATAACTACAGCCTCTTTAGTTTATCAGGAATGTATTCTATTGTACTTAAGAAATTCCTAGTTATAAAGTGAGGAACAAATTTCTTCAACTGTGTTGGATCATGATTCTGCAGTTTTTGGATTAATGACTTCCATCTTTTCCTACCATGCTTATAACTCAGGCCAATTAGAAAGTTAGCCCTGTGATTTCAGTTGTTTTTGCCAGATCTTCTATTCTTTAAGTATTATTTATTTTGATGTCACAAGCAGTGACAAAACCAGCAGAAAGAGGTTCATCTCTAATAACTAATCCAGAAGTTTCCAAGCAAATATCTTCCAGGTAGGCCAGGGCTGTTCAACTGCACAAATTCTCTACTGGAAATGCTAGTTGGGAATAAAAGGAGTTGTAGTCCCAGCATCTGATGTGTGGGAACCAGCTCTGCACCAGAGAAAACTAAGCTACTGATCTTTGACAATTGCTGCTCCTGTGATAAAAGCACATGGATAAATGTTGGCGGAAATGAAATGCAGGGATGTTCTGCAAGAATGCATTCTTATGCAAGGAGCTTTACTTTTCTCACTGAACTGCAAATAGTCCAGGCTTATCTCTAATCAATATTCACTGTCTGCAACTGCAATTGATGTAGCTCATAGCTGAGCTGTATCATCTAAACTGAAAACATCTGAAATGATGAAGAGTGACCAAAACCTATGAGGGCAGTAAATACTCTTGCAAACACAAAATTATACCAAATTTCAGATGGAAATCTGAGTTAAAATTACTTAGCTGAAGATCAATGGAGATTCTCAATCATCCTGGCCATGGTTGTCCCAAAGATGCTTTTTCAATAGGCAACTGGACTTCCTTATTTTTCTTTGAAGACATTTCGCTTCTCACCGAAGAAGCTTCTTCAGCTCTGACTGCAATGACCAGCTATCTGCAAGGAATATAAATCCTTCCATTCCCTACCATCCAGCCAGAGCTGAAGAGGTTTTTTTGAATGAGAAGCAAAATGCCTTCGAAGAAAAACAAGAAAACGCAGTTGCCTCTTGAAAAAGCACCTTTGAGAGTTACTTTGCTGTTGTACTTACTGTGCTTTGGTCTCTTTCTTTCTTCATCCCTATTCCTACATTGCTCCCAATTGCTTGTCTGCAAAAAAGTGGACTTCTGTTTTCTTGGATGCGTCATTGTAAGGTTGGCTGGATGGACTACCATGTCTGAAGCAACTGGGATAGGACACAGTTGAGATTATCCCACTGCTCTTCTTCAGCTTGGAGGATTAATTTTCTGCAGGGTAAATACTCCTTTAGCAGGGAACTGCTTACTTTCTCTTTCTGGAACCAAACAATTATAGTTTTTATAGACCCAAACTAGAGCCTGCCATAGATTTGCCCAGGAAACTCATTTTGTTTGATTTTAATCCTTTTAAATAGATCAATAAATCCCAATGCTACATATGGAATTATTTATATACACTATGAGCTGCAGTGCTTGGAATGCCATAGTATTTACTTACTACATGCAATTTTTACTAGCATCGTCTTCTTTAATGAGTCTGAGGAAAGCAACCCAAACAACTTGTTACCCAGACAATTTCTCTCTTCCTCTCTTCTTATATTAAAAAGCCAAGCCTTACTCCATAAAGTCAGCCACCCCAGAGAGTAGGATAGATCTTTTACTGATTTTACAGATTTTACTGTCTCTATATATAGCCACAGGACATTAAGGATTTTCCTATTCCTGATTTCACAGCTTGCAACATTTCTTTTATTTTTTTAAATGCTGAGTTCACATCCTGGGATATCTCCCAAGGTTGCAATCTATGAGAGTGGCCAAGAGCTTCTGGGAGGAAGAACGTGATTTGTAATATGTTAGTTTGTCTTCATAAAACAGCAGGGCAAGCATACATTTGCTAAGCTATGCATATGAAAACTGCAGATTTCCCAGTGAACCTATACTCAGGGGGAACAGTGCAGGAAAATACATCAAAGAAAAGTATATGTGTTGGGTTAGCCTGCCAAAATTAAAAGAAAAAGCACAACCTGCATGAATTTGGCCCATTTAATTTCTACATTGTTTTTCTCTTTGATGTAATACAGAATGAATATAAATGTGTACACACACACACATACATGGGAGGGCGCGCGCGCGCGCGCACACACACACACACACATATATATCCGAATCAACTGTAGCATTTGCGATCCTTGGCTTTTTTTATTTCCCCTCCAGGAGCCAAAAAACAACCCAGTTCAAATAAGTTCTTACTGTTCCCATTTATCTGTACTTACTCCCTTTGTTCTTGTTTATGTTAATACTTATACTTGTTATCTTGTACATGTTTGACAAACAAATAAAATAAATAAATAAATAAAGTTTTGCCCTCTCCTTACCATTTTTTGTGTGTGTGTGTGTGTGTGTGTGTGTGTGTGTGTAGCGCTGTGGCTAACACATAAATGATCCGGACCCTCTTATTTCTCTGGAAATCCCAGCTAGAAAAACTTTCTGTCGCCCTGAGGGCAAGAAAATAGAACTTCTACCACTCAAGTCTCCTCTCCAACACTTCCTGCGAGATGGAAGAAAACTCTACCCTTTCCAGACGGGAAGGAGCGGTCGGTTCTTTTAAGCATGCATAGGAAAGCAGCCTGCCAACTTACGGTACCTCTTGGCAGGCAGGAAATGAAAAGGAGTTGCAGGAGGGTTGCGAGTCCCAAATGCCTCCAGGCAGATAGTGCCATGCTACTGCTGCTGCTGCTGCTGCTGCTGCAGGGGCGCGCGTTTCCAGAAAGGAAAGCAGATACGCGTCCTTTCGCCTGGGATCTCACCAAGCGGTGATTCTATGAAGGGTCTCAGATTTCAAGCCTCAGCTCGCTCTCTACATCTTTCGAAGAAGGAACTATCTTCCAGGCTCGTCAGACGGCCAGACAAACACAACGACGTCACCCCCTTCACACACACACACCCCCAACGAAAACACTGCTCAGCGGTAACTTTAACCCTTTGTCAACGCGGGCAGAGCCGTCCAGGGGTTGGAAGGAGAGGACCAGCCAGACGCAAAGCAGCACTCTAGGCTAGGGGGGCAGAAAGTGGACATAGAGTTGTGTGGGGGTTGAGCTTGGTGGGACACATACTTGATTAAACGAATCCAGGAGTAGAACACGGTTTAGGACGCCGTTTGGTTGTGTGCAAAATACACAGAGAAAGGCATGGAAGGCTGCTTTAGCTCGATCTTTTAATTCGACTCACTGCAGTACCATGGAAGGGTCCGTCCAATGTCTGCCCGTTTGGTCGCTGTTGGTGGGAAAAGACCATTCAAAACATTCCTTTTCTTTCCATAAACTTTTCAAAGGCATCCGAGAGAAGAGAGAAAGTGGCTTCATTGCAAGGCTGTACACGGAGGTCCCCTGTTTTGTTGAATGCTGGGAGGAGTGGGCTTTAAGGACTGGACTTGGTGAGGGACTGACTGAACTGAGGAGAGAAAGCTACGGCACATCTCACTGCGCAGGTGTTTGGCAAAGGTGTTGGAAGTGATTTTTGAAAAGACAGAAGCCAAGGAGGGGAGGCATTGTTATTGCTAACAAATTCTACTTCTATTGATTGTTTCTTTTGAGGGCTGTTGATTACCCATTGTTCCTGGTAGGAGTATCTGGTTGACCTAAGCAGCTCAATTTTCAAATGTTGAAAGGTATCAAAATGCCTTTCCTTCGAGGATTCAATTTTCCTGCTGGGAGAGCTCCGGCGAATGAATACGGACAACTGCTTGAAAGCTGGATCTTTTTATTTTTCAGGAACGTGAGGGACAGCAAGAAGTCTGCGTTCCTGGGTTAGCTAGCTTCTTATGGTAAGTCCCTGGTTTTTTATACCCTTTTCTCCCTTTGTGAGTTGATTTTGTGTGAATGTTTGTATTTGTGCTTAATGTGTCAAATCCTGTTTGAGTTTGTCTTTATTCCTGCCAGAGGGCAAATTCCGCGGGGTGTGGAAGGCAAACTCCGCGTGGTGCGGAAGGCAAACTCTGCGGGGTGGTTAGATTGTATTATCGGGTTTTTTTCCTAATCTCTTTTAGCTTTATAATGGATTTTCATATTTGTCTTGTGGCAATCTCCTGTCTGTCTCTTTTGTAATTTATATTTTTTTGTGTCTTTTGTCTGTTTGTTTTGCTTATTTGGTATGTCCTGTGTTCGTAAGGGTTTCTTTTTCTTATTTGTCTAGTTTTCTTAATTACTTAGGCTTTTGTCTATAGGGATTCTTTAATACCTTTTATTTAATTCCTTTTCCTATGTAAGTTTGTTTTATGGCTGGCCTGATATTCCCCTTTGGCTTTTCCTGTTTGAGTGACACTACTGTCTTCGTGAAGTTCCCTTTCCACACAAGGAAAGATCACCCAGTAAGTTAACACAGAAAAATAAAGAGAACAGTGAAGGGAAATCAAGACTGAGGCAGTATCTTCTGCTTTTTCCTTCTTCTCTTTCACCTGGTCCAGATTACAATAGTTTTTCATCAGAGGGGGGAGTTTCTGAGAGTTTGCAAGAAAACATGGGAGTTTTGCATGGAAATTCACCTGGGGGAATGAGCAGGGGTGATTCCAAGCTGTCTCGTGGACAGCAAGGGAACTTTTGTTGGGATCTCCTGGATAGTGCAGCAGTACTTGTCTTCCTGCCTGAAGTAAATTCAGATGACACCTATGCAAGCATAAGCTTGGAAAAAAACAAAAAAACAAAAAACAAAGAGTAGAGAAAATCCTGGATAGGATTAATTGAAGCTCTTCAGAAAATGCAGAGAAGTGGGAGAAAAAAACTAATTAATCAGGAAAGTGTTAAACTATGAACGTTCTTGACTTAAGACCTCAAAGTTTTGATAATATTGATGGTTACGACTGGTCCTTGGAGTTCTGGCTGTCCTAGCACCTCCATAGTCACATGATCATGATCTGGGCGCTTGGCAACTGGCTCACACTTATGACTGGTTGCAGCACCCTATGATCACATGATTGCCATTTCTGACATTCCTTGCTGGCAGGAAATATTGCAAGTTGCTGGGATAAGTTTCTTCTAACCCCCCACACACACTCTACTTGTGCCTTGCTGGCCATACACTGTACACACTCAGTACACAAACAGCAGTCTCTTTAGCCAAATATCAACCCCAGACACAGGTTTTCCTATACCCAAATAAATACTAAATGGGAGATGTTTTAATTAATTGAGCCTAACTCGATTGATTCATTTTTACTATCAAAAGTTCACCACCAAGAGGCTGATCATTCCGTTCAATTTCAGCCCAGGATGTTCTTTTTCCCCCAAACAGAAGTATTCTGTTTTATCCCACTATATTTTAGATCATCCCGGAACTAAGTTTTGCTTCTGGATTTTTCTTAGAGGAAAGCACATCTGAAAATTCCATTCTGATCAAGAATTAAATTGCAACTCTTTCTTTGAACTGCTAAGTGGGTGTAAATGGGGTATTTTGACAGGTGAGATGAAAGCATTATGTTTCAGGCATTCATAGAAACAAGTGTCACTAATATAGATACTTTTAAGAAGGCAACATTTCTTTTAAAGTTGATATAAGTGAAAAGGTGGGAATCACACTCCTGAATTCAATGCAAGGCCCTAATCATGTCCCTGTTACACTCTTCCCAGAAGAGCTAATCTTGTAATGTTAGTGTCCAAATCCTTCTTTTAGATTTGCTTTTTGTGCTCTACTTATTCTTTATAATGGGAGCTGAAGCTTTCTTCAACATAATTTTCCTGGTGGAACTGTGCCTAAAATAACACAAAGTTTGTTTGAAGGTTACAGTTTGGGGGACTTTTAAGGAAATAAGGACAAAGCTAACTTAAAACTTTAAAGAATAAGGCACAGTGTGAAGAAACTGGACAGATTCTTGGAGTGGAGGTAAGTTTCTATAATCAATAAAAATAGAAGATTCACTAGATCGAGGTCAGCTATTTTAAGGGTAAATACTTTTTCCTTTACTACTGCAGAGTTCATATCTGGTATTAAAGGCATTCCCATTAATGTGAGCTGCTTGAATAGCACCATTTCAGAAGAGTTAACATTAAAATATTCTTCACTAATGCATTTGGATAAACATTCTCGGAATATATACCAGATACAAGGATTACTAGCATTATTCCCCATCCTCCAAAAGTGTAATTTTTTCATACTTTCCTGTAAGAGAAAATAAATTTGCTTTGGGCTATAACATCTCCACTTAAGGATTTTTTAAATGAAAAAAAAGATATAAAGAACACAGTATAACAGTTTTATAATGTAAATTGGGAGCAAAAGACAGAAGAACTTGCTTAGAAAAAGAATATGAGTACCCAATTTAACAGATTTTAACTTTAACTGTTATATTGAACATTTCCCCTTATTTAGAGTTTTTATGCTGCTATTTCTTGCTTAATTTGAATTTTTCATGTTACCTATTGAATTTTTATTACTTATTCAACATTCTGTTTCTTATATTAAGCATCAAAATGTTTCTGAGTATTTGGACCATTGGTCTTAACTATTTTTTTTTTTAGTGTTTCAGAAAGATGTGTATATTTTCATAAATCATCCTTCTGTCTTTTAAGGCTGTGACTTATTTAGAGGTAGTGAAATTGTTCTTTCCTGTGGAACAGTTCAAACCTATTATTTTCTTGCAGACAATGTGGGAAATATAAACAAACTAAGTTCCTTCTTTATTTCTTATAACTTCTTTTCTAGCTTCAGTTAGTCCATCAGTAACTGAGCTTGTCCTTTCTTGCATCTTCTCCAATATCTTATTTTAAAGTGTGTTCAGAAATGTATGCAATGTGCTAAGTACCGTCACACCACATATTTGTCTATAGCTTGATTGCTTCCTGTTGATGCCTTACATGGATTTTGCCAACAACTACAAACTTAGATTTGTATAGTGGCATCTCAGTACTTGATATTAATTGGTTCTAGGAGGCATGATGGATACTAAAAACTATGAGTGCCAAACAAACCAGATGATGTACCACATGACTCTTTGTTTTGGCAATGAAAAATTTCTGTCTGTCCTTTTTCCTATGTCAGTGACTTTCCCAGCATGGCTGACTTCCTGTCCATCCTCGATAGCCATTACCTCTTCCTTTTGCAGTGTGCTGAATACCAAAGAAACTATGAGTACCAGGACAACATTTTCATATCAAATGTGTTGAGTACCAAATTTGATGAGTTTTGAAACAATTGAATAGAGAGGTACCACTGTATCTTCATTGTAAGATTCACTGTGTTTTTTAAGATTTATCAAGGAGAAAGCAGGCTACATGGGGCGGAAAGGGTAGGACCTCTCCTCTTCAATCATCATCAACTGGAACCCACCCCAAGGAAATTAAGTGAATCAGCCCAACACTGTGCTTCCCACTGATCTATATCCATGGCTGATAGTATTGAAAGCTGCCAAAAGGTCAGATAGAACAAGTATGGAATGCTACCGTGTTTCCCTGAAAATAAGAGCCTGTCTTATATTTTTTTTGCCATCAAAAAAAGGCACCAGGACTTATTTTCAGGGGATGTTGTTCATTGATTCACCTCACTTGCACGCATTGCCCCTGGCTTCTTTTTCACTGTCAGAGGCCTTCAAGAACTTATTCTTCTGCGGCCAGCAAGACTTTCGTGAAGGCCTCTGCAGCCAGTAACAGACCTCCAGATCGATCCAAAACTCTGTTATCAGCTGCAGAGGCCTTCAAGAAAGCCTTGCCAGATACAGAAGAAATGGACTGGCAAGGCAGGTGTTGGGGTGT